ACCATCAGTGGAGATCTGACTATGTGTTGCTAATCGAAATTATGACTGGGAAGGCACAGTTAACGATAATTCTGTGTACCTTTGCTGATCAACAGTTGGAATGTGCGGAATAGTAGGTTCAAATCTACAATTTTTTGCGCAAGCCCCACCCTGCAGGGAATCGATCCTGTCGCCCACCGTAAGAATTCTCATACAGCCATCTGCACTCCTACCATAATTGAAGTCTCTAGATCTACGGGAAGAGCAGTCATGAATTTCCGGTCTTACAACGCTCCGCTCCCTGTGAGTGGGTTTTATTCTTCCCACGTACCATAAGTATGCTTATTCTACCACCTAAACTTCTATCAGCTTTGAGCACTTGTGTGCGCATTCTTGCGAGGCTGTCGATTTCTGAGCAAAATTCGGCCTCGGGCAGATGGTTGTGCTTTCCGGGCGCCGCGGTCCTATTCCTCCATAGAAGGTTGCAACTCATAATAGGGGTTAACGGGAGCATCACGTCGAAACAACATATTTCAATGTTTCGGTGGGAATGAAGTTGGGGGGGGGGCACCCATCACAGTGTTCGTAGAACAAGGAATGAATTCAAATGAACTCAATGAAACGTTTTATGCCGCGTTACATCAAGAACATGTAAGTTTTGAATTAAGGTTTATGAGGGAACGAGCACTGCGGTGGACAAGTTTTTTTCTCTTTATTTTCGTACGAGGTAATCATCCCACTCCTACCCTTCTTAGGCTTAATTACAAAACTACATTCCCCTTGGTAAAGCTGCGTCAAAGCGCACAGATTATCGGTGGCCGCATTCCTCTTCGTCTTTGATACAGTGCTATTATTTGAAGGATTAACACGTAAGACTGAATTCATTTCTCTGGATGGATGCCCCCTGCCCCAACTGCATTTTACCGATGTTTCTCCCAAAATTGTGGAAGTGTTTCTTTTTCTGGTTTACTACGTTCTCGTGCTAGGATGCGTATGAGTGGGAATTGCTGTAGATCGTTTCAGTTTGCTGTTTTGCAAATTGTTGAAACAGTCAAAAAAACTTAATTGAAGATATCTTGTGCGTTTGCTTTTGTAGTCGTTGCTGGAGGCGACGGAACCGATGAACTTTCTGTTGATGTTGTCAGATCTGTCGTTGTTGTCAGATCTGTTGATGTTGTCAGATTCAGATCCGATGTGAATGGTGTTAGTGTGGTAGTCGCTAGCGAATCCGTGCTTGAACGGTTGCTGTCGGACTCTGAATATAGAATAGAGATAGAAAAAAGGTAAAGCTAAAGTTTGAAGTTTTTGGCGTTAATCAATCCCGTCTGAGAGATGCGCCCCCGCACTCAACTTCCATTCGGAATCTTAGTGGTGTAATGAGTGCGTATGTGGCCTATACAAAGACTTGCGGTGGCCAGCCGGTGTACAAGTCAGTGCTTTTATCCTCCCAGACGAGTCTGGTACCAATTCACCGACCCCGGTGGGATGGAAGGCTTGCTTGACCTAAGCGGGCATCAATCCGAGATTCGAGCTCCTGACCGTGAGCGGGAGATAGCGTGCCACTTGCCACCACCACCTCCACCTCATAGAAAAAAGTTAGTAATCAAGAAGTCTACCACCACAAACATTCTATATTCCCCAGATAATAGTCACTAGAATTATAGTATTCTACACTAGATTCAGACATCGGGAAGAGCTGAGCCCTCGCATAATTGACCTTTTGGAACTGAGTGTAGTTCCCGTCTGTTATTTCCTCGGTCAGTTCACTGTACTAACCAAAGAGTTCACTTCTCAAAATGATTTTTCAAAATTGTATAGGGTTCTTAAAATGTGAGAGTGCCAAAAATACTATTTGTTGAACCCTACTTGTTTACCTAAACCAGATAATCACTCTCGTTTTGTTAAGGAGAATAGTTGCGGCAAAAGCCCAAGAGCAGAAGCTTACCGTGAAGAAAAGCTTACCCATTGTTCACGCGACTGCCAAGTGTCAGTTCTGCAATTAAACCCCTCCATTTTTATCTAATTCACACCACGATATATCATAATCTTCCATCATCCCATCATGACCGCTTATTTCGCGAATGCTTTTCTCCTCGATGAATCTTCCATATACACTTTCCATATTAACGAGTTTATGTATGTGCCTAGAGCGATAATGATAGCGCTATGTGATTCAACATTCTTCCCAGATAATCGCTCATATGATGGAGAGAACAACGTACATATAAATCCGAAAAAAAATCAGGCAGAACTATGGCACGGAGGAGTCCATAACTCTCTAAAATAGTCGCTTTGCAACGAAGCCTGATGAAGACATGTTCATAAGGGAGAAACTGGGCCTGATGACCTTTTACTCTCAACGGAACAATCACCTCGGGATGTATGCATCTAAGTATCAGGAAATCAATACTATTGTGAACGATTTAGCTTTGAAACTTAGCGGCGATATAAGCGCTAGTTTTCTCAATGCCATTTATTGTTTACTGGTCTTGCCCAGGTTTCAGTGAGGTAGGATTTAATGTTATAATAGAAATCCTTCTTCTACTTGCACCCTTGATGACCGAGTGTGAGTTCTTTCCATCACATAACCGTTTAGATTTGAGCAAATGTTTTAATGTAAAAGAGAGCCCAGTAGTGATTGTTCGTCAATCACGTCGAAAATCGATATTACTAGCTATCAACCTGTCAGGATTTCCGAAACGAAGCGTACACCAATGTATGTAATCATCGTTGCTGTATAAGCGCTATCGTCAACGGCTTCTTTCATAGTGCGGATTTGGCCCGCGAGCGACGGTGGATTACTTGTCCGGCGGTATCGACCAAGATTCAGTTGTAAACAAGGGGCAAGCACCGCCCCCCTCGCTCGCTCGCTCACGGGCCCATTCGCGCACTATGAAAGCAGCCAACGATTCAAAATATCTTCGTACCGTGCGAAGTTGTTGGGTGAAACAATTTATTGAATCAACGACCTGAGGTTCCGGCGCTGTCGTCTTCTTCAGAGGCATAAAACAACTCGAAATGATTTGCAAAATTCCCAAGAAGCGCATTATCTCATTGGGAACGTGACGACGAATTTAAAACCCACAATTCGACGCATAATCCACCAAGGTTACTCCGCACGAGCTGATATATATATATATATATATAT